TATAATTTTTAATTGGTGTTTTATGTACAAAATACTCACCGTAATTCCATGAAAATAAAAATTGTCTTCCAATTTAAATTGATTCAATCAATTTATTTCAACTCAATATGGGCATCTGGGGAATTTAATACATATACTGATACCTCTGTAAATTATATAGAAATGTTGGCATTCTCTGTAAAAAAAAATAATATTCAATTGAAAAAGAGAGAAGGAAGTCCCTCTCTGATGGAGGTAATTTTTTTTACTAGCTAAATGGATGGTAAATAGGTGAGAGAAATGCCCAAGAACTTTTCTTACATAAATTTTAGGGTTGGAAGTATCTGTTTCTTGTAATTTGTAATTTTATAACAAAATGTTCCTATGTCAAGTCAGTGTCCTCATGTTGGGCCAGTTTTATTAATTTTTTATGATAAAATAAGTGTCCCTATGTCGAATTGTCCGCAGGTCGAGGTGTCCGCATGTGGGGGTCTCACTGTAATTTCAAGGAAGGGGGAATTCGAATTACTGTAATTCGATTGACATTTTCATCACATCAACACCACGGTTATTCGGTTCAATCCGATGAATAAGGAGATATTTGGTTTTAGGTTTCACCCTTGCATGACATGCCCTAAATGCCATTGGGGTACAGTGGCAATCCGTATAGAGAAGCCCAGACATAACACATCACGCGTTCGTACGTGTTACCCAAATACACGGATCATTCTAATAGCACAAGCACGCATGTTGTCCTTGATAGCAGAGAATCGAACACCATCAGTTGCTAACCCATTCAAGCATGAAAATTATAGGCAGATCCATGAGAAAAACGACGTGGAAATAAAATGACGGGAAGAAAATACCCCTAGGAAAACAGACAAGGGGAAAAAAATGCTCCAGATAAAAATAAATGCACGTTTTCTTCCTGGGAAAGTCTCATGGAATTTTCTGCATCAGAGCCATTTTTCGTCCGAATTTTTCTTCCGACTCCAAGCTGATGAACATCAATATATTGTACAGTACTTATGCTCGTGCATTTCAAGAAGGGTTCACAGCAGAAAAAAAAATTAATTCATGCCTTAAAAATAAGCAAATTTGAATTTTCAGCTTCACCAAGTTAATTTCCAATGATTCCCCACTGCGAAGAAAATGTTTTCAACAATCAGCTCCAAATCCCGAATGCGGTATTTTTTAAGTAAAATAAAAACCAGACGTTGAAATAAATCCCGTTAACGTGACATTTTATCCCCATTCCGGAGATTTACCTTTCGTTAAATGCTTAAATTCCTTCTGTTTCATTCGGCATTACAAAAGTAGGGGAAGCTGCTTGCAATCAGGGCTGGCGCATTATATTGAACCTCCCCGACTCGAATACCTCCCTATGCTAATTTTTTTTAAAGTTCCTGCCTGAATTCTCTTCGAATGACTGAATTGAAAATTTTAAAAACCTCCCAAACTCAAAGATTTCCCCGTCAAACCTCTGTACAGCACTGCACCTCAAATTTTCTGGAGGCCTTTTGGCTAATATTTATTGACACAGGAAGGAGATAAGCAATAAAAATAAGAAGATGTGTTTTGAAAATAATTGAAAGACCAATTGTCCAAATAAAACCTCGCCTTCAACTTCAACATCTTGTCGAAGCAATCAATAATTGAAATTTCCTCAAATTATTCTTTCTTCTCCCCAAAACAAAAATTATTATTACCCTAAAACGAAACCCGTCAACTAATTTTTTTTTGCTGGTCCCTTCAAGTTCCACTGCATTAAACAATTATAAACGAGTTCCCCATTGTAAACAATGACAAGCATTTTCAAGCACAATAAATTTAAAATCATGCGAATTGCCAGTCTGAAGTTGCAGGGACGACTGACTGGGTCACAACATTCGCGAACTACTTAATATCGAGATTCCCGCCGGAAATGAGAATAAAAAGGAACTCAAGACAATGAAGAGAAAAAAACAGTAGTCCCATCTGGTAAGCCACAGCAATGCTCAAGAGAAGATGCCATTTCCTGTTATATTCTCACGGCTTCCATAAGAAGCCTTCCGCACGCAATTTTCTTCGGAAATCGAGGATACAGCATATAAAACAAAAACAAGTGGAAGTCATTCACCTAGTTTCCGCCTCCAATTACTGCACAGAACTTTCGCTTCAAAATGTTTGTATCACATGTGAAGTTCAAGCGATGATAGTATACTGTAAAAGGGAATACATGCCGTAGCACGAAAGCCTTTTTTGGCAGCTCGTTTATGAAGAAGAAACACACGCACACATTGATTTCGACGCCTGATAAATGCAAATATTTCCGAGGCGGTCACGATTAAAATTCAAGAATATACTGTAATTTATGCGGAAAAGCGATTAAAAAAAAAAACTAGAGGAAAACCCCCGAAGAAGTGCCGCGAAGTCATGTCATATCCGGAAGGCAAACTCAGCAGCACCCACTCGGGATTTTTCTTCTTGAGCGCTTCCATCAGAAAAGCGCAATTCTCATCACGGCCCCAAGGGCTTATGAAATGGCAACAACATCTCTTATATAACCCATACGCCGCAAAGGGATAAATATGAGCTCATCTACAGGGCACGTACAACAAATTCGCGTGATTTCTAGGGCAAAAGCAAAATTAGGGGAATATATAACAATCCCGAGCACGGGCGGATCTCAAGTGAAAACAGTACTGCACTGAACTCACGAAAGATCGGAATGATATTCAACTGCTATTCATTAACTGAAAGATATGATTTCCTTAATGAAGGAATAGGACTGAACCCGAGGAGTTGGATCTCAATGACTCGACTCTCCCTTTATCGAATTTTTGTTTCGTTTCTGTCTAAGAACGATGTATTACAGACTCAAATAACTTGAAGACTTTTCCCCTCAAAGTCTAATTAAATATAATTTCTTGAGGCCTTAAGACTCTTGTTCTAACATGATGAATTTCAAAAGGAAGTGAGTGACTGTAATCCGGGAAATACACATTTCCCTGCATGTTGTTCAGCATCCTGCCAAATCATTCACCCAGCAGTTTTAAGCAAAGAAGATCACCAATTTTAACTTCCTGTATATTTTGCTTTTTACCCAGCAAGAATGCTAATTTCCCTAACTCAAAAATTATTGCGAGTCCCTCGGAGTTCGACTTCACTTCGTATTTCAGGAGGGTACCCCAGTTAATCCTGCACAACCACATCATGCACACCCCAAATACTCCTCTGTATCAATAATTGCGAAAAAAATTATCGACTGGAATCAGATTAGTGCCAGCTTCCACCTTATATGAAACATAACTCACCATTTTATATAAAACTCCGCATAATTAAAAAAAAATTAAAGGAATTCAAGCGACATCTAAAGCAAATAAATTCACGGAGTCTAGGGAAGTCCGTCGTCTAAAAGATAAAAATAGAAAGTTCAACATACTACTGTACATTGCATTACCACGGTTGGCTGTTCGTGATTTATTCCTACGGTATAATCTTCCAGCAGAGATAAGAACTGGTCCAATCTTTCGATTTTCCGTACGTACCTTGCAAGAAGAAGCGAAGGTGTCATCGAAGCATCTCCCGTGCTGAGATGTTCTACTATATATGAACCACTCACTCGAACACTCGGAAAAACTGTGATTGTTGAACTTTGAGTAAAATCATCACGGCACATTGGAAATCATGGCATCCGGATCCCCTTGGCACCTGAGCATATTTTGAAACCAAGCATGCGAGCGGTAACTGATCCGCTTTCTTTCCGAACACTCAGCGTAGCGGAAAGTCGCACCTCGACTGATGACGACAGCGTCTCATGCACAGAGTCAACCAAACGCCGCGACATTGAAAAGAGGACAGTGGGCGCGAAATTCGCGCACAAACGCTCAATTTCGAACGGCTTTGCGATGGACGACGTCTGTTCCTCTTTCTGTGTCACCAACACCCGCATGACCTCGGTAATGCGGAGAAAAAGCAAAAAAAAAAAAAGGCCACATCATTCTGAGGTCACCCCCGTCGAGCGGCAGCCAGCCGTGAAAAGTGGTCTGGATAAATGAATCCAACGCAGCAGACTTCCCGGGCTACACCGCGATTACTTTTGCGATACGGTTCCAGATCAGCGCTTGAATGGGTCTCTCCCATCATACTTACGTCAAGGCTATTTGCACGTCGCAACACCCTTTCGCGATTCTTGAAATGATGAATCTATGCACACGGCGTTGACGCCCCTTTCCGATTGATAATTACTCATCAACAAAAGAAAATCGCAGACCTCAAAACTCAGGTACAGGTGTACAGCATGAAAACCGAAGTTCTAGAACGACCAAAAGATGTCGAGTTCATAGAGTTCTCCTGATGCTCTCAACTTTCCGGTCGAGCAGTTCAGCAGTTCATCCAAGTGACGAATAGCATTCCGAAAGCCTTGGGACTAGCTCGCTCACGTCGAAGTGCTCACCGACTTTCTCCCCATCTCCAGGATACAAAATAGGAACTCCCATGAACTCCACAAGTGGATTCTTGACGCAATTTCGCAAGGTTTATTGACAAAAAGTAAAAATGTTGACATGTGGACCACAAATTCGCAAAATATTCATTCCACATCAGATGAAACATGTGCGCAGGGCGGCAGGGACGAGGTTCGTTCGCAAGTCAAATCGTTTAAATGTTTACACTGATTCGTCAGACCAGAAAGAAGTTTTCTCGAAGAGCGACAAAAGCATCAGTGCAATAGCTTCATTCTTAGGAAAGCGTTGACTTATACTTCGATAGGAGCCAGTAATATACAGATCACTCGGAATTTATTACCTTAACTCCACACAATGCTGAAAGACAAATTTGACACGTCTCCGTCACAATAGATGACGTAAATTCTCCATGGACACTCGAAAATTATTTTCAACCTAGAGAGCCGATTCACCGAGGACACTTAATATTAAATGCTTTTTTCGAATCAACGCTATCTCGAAACGGCGGCATTCGTCATTCATTCGCATCCTTTCCCTTATCGAACGGATTATCACTCAGAGGTTCGAAAAAAGTTATTGCACCACTGCTGCTGGGAATACACGACACGAAATCAACCAGCGAACTGCATTCCAGCCCGCTTGATTTCCATCCCAGCGGCTCGCGCTTTCGGATCGCGTTCGAATCCAAGTATCCAGCTTCGCCAGACCTTGTATGTGCGCACGTAACGCCGGGAACACCGCATCCTAAAATTTCACACAGGTGTCGAGAATACTCGTGGGACACGGAAGAAATCGACAGGTGCGGGGGAACTCTGTACGGTATAGTCGGCAAGTCGACATCAGAGAAAATTGCTTCGCAGGGAAATACAGCAGTACCGCACATTACTGCTGCTACCGCATCGTTGATTATCACCCTGTCCTTAAAATTCGCGATAGCTCCCCGGTTACGCGCCAAATTTACTGCTCAACTGACTCACCGATCAACCTTCGTGAGGGGGAAAGTGAACAGAGACGGGTGAGACAGCAGTCTTGATGCAGATTGAGCTCCTAATGTGCAAGAGTCTCAAATATTTCAATTATACAGAATTGCACGGCAAAAAGCCGCGTCAGATTCACTTCTTTTTTAGTTTAAAAAATTTAGCAAGCTTATCATTTGTAATGCACATCAGACCATGAACCAAAAAAATGCTTCTCCAATTTCCAGGTTTTAAAACCACAGCACAGTACAGTATAACATCTGTACTTCTGAAATTGAAAACTATGGCTCAAATGCCAAAAGATTGCACTATTACCTTTCGACAAACTTGTATCTAAAATACGGTAACACAAACGATTGAAAATATTTGAATTTATTTTTAAATGCTCAGACATGCGAAATACTTTCTCTATTATTCCAACTGCTTGCTTTTCCATGGGAGGATATTCAAATAATATCACAAGAGTTGTCTGCAGAGCAAAGTTTGATGGGCTTAATAATACAGTAGGATTCATGTCATCTGTATACTGTATATGTAATTTTTATGACACTTGGTTTGAGCAGTTCAAGGTCTGCAAATTTTCAGACAGGACTTCGCCTAGATCAGCGTTACAGTTTATATAAACAAAAACCAACTTGGATCCTCTAAAAATGCCACCGTTATCACGTTTTTGAGTGAAAAAGGGGTTGGTAAAAAAGCACAAGACAAAGAGAAAACACAAATTCAAGTACAGGTTGAAATTGCAAGAAACTCCATGAAATTCAAAAATATACGTGAAAAACGCAAAAAAAGTAGCCAAAGCAGGTTGAACTGCGGTGCAAGGGTCAAATTGCAAGTTGACCTTCCTGCAAATTCAACCTTCAAATTATGGGATGGTTGAATTGCGGGAGTTCGAAAATCAAGGTATTACCTGCACTGTACATAGCTCAAGGATTTCACCGACGGATCCTCAAAAATTCGCAAGTATCAGCAACAGCAATATAGAACACCAAGTTTTAATCGCAGCGTACAAGAAATAGACGCTTTTTTTTGGAAAATAAGGAGATGCGGTACTTGAAAATTTTCTTATTTATTCTTTTCATTTCGCAACAGAAAATACAAATCAACGTCTGCAATTGCACAATAAAACTCGTCACCGAAAACAAAACAAAACAAAAAACCGGCTCCCCTAATCGACCTCCAAAACCGCCACCCGATCCGCACACAATCGACGACTGATTGGTCCTAGCCCACCGGCATTGCATCATCACGTCATTTGATCCAACAAAGACGACACCTTTCTCGTGTCCTGTCCCGTTTTCTTCATAATCCAAATGCATAAAGAAACCCATGCTACACGCATCCGATGCATGAAACTGTCCCACCTGCGTAGACCAAATAACATTTCAGCCCCATTCGCCGCTGCTCCACGCATACGCATACCGAAACACGAAGGATTTCTCGAAATTCTCGTTGCAGCGAAAGCCTTCAGAAGTAAATATAGTACGGTATATGCAAATAATAAATGTTGAATTAAAACAATTAAATAATAAATAAATCAATAATACCTTTAATTTAAAAGAAAGAGCACGGTATGGACCTGTGAACCCCAGATAAAGTTAAAAAACACGTTTTATGGACCACTGAAATGTACTTTGACAAGAACCAAGCACAATGAATGATCAGATCAAAAATTTAGCAGCTTAAGCTCCACATATTGCCATTATTACCAGATGGTTCGAAGAAAACTTCGAAGAAAAGTTTTAACTTTTTGCGACAGCCATTTTCATCGTCAAGGAAGAAATCCAGCTGCGATAACAGCAAAGTTTTCGAAGAGGTGCTTTCCAATAATACAATAATGAGGAATTGAAAGAAAAAAATTATATTTTCAAGATACTCCAAAAACCAACACGATACATTTCAACTGTAGCATTTATTTTTTTTTACCTCAGCTGCTGACGAAGGACTGAGAAAAGGTCCACAGGTCAAGAACGATTTACAAGAAGTTATTCCCCTCAAATCAGGATTCGTAGGCTACTCCAGAAAAATTAAAACAAAGAAATCCTTCGTGTCAATCAATCATCATAAATGAATAAAAATCCGACGGAACCCACCTGAGCCAGAATTCAAATCGATATTCGGATACATTCCGGGATAACGAAGAGAAGATTCCATGATTCGCACCAGCTGAACATCTTGCTGCGACCCGCCCCATAAGTAAGTATCGATCAACGAGGTTCCCATGATCTTTCGTTATAGCACGAATGGTGTTGATATTTCTGCATGAAACAAAGGATTCATTGAAAACAGCGGAACCGGATTATCTTTTCATAAACACAACGTGAACGAATGAACACGACGAAAAAGAAAAATCTATGTTAGTAACAAAATGACGGGAAGACTTCGCGTGGCAAATTACACAATTCCCCAAGCAAAAAACACGCAATACTACTAGTACTGTAAATCTTGTTTGAACAGCTCAACCCACTATTAATTGATGAAGTCCACAGGATTTCACCCCATAGGCGTTAAAAGAAAATAAGTCGCAACAATATATTGTAAAAACAAATGCTAAGGTGAACCAGAAAATTAAATTTAGCCGATGAAGACGTAGTTCAGTTGATGCTTTTTACGCACGGAAGAGCACTTAAAAAATTGGATCAAAATTTTCTGGTCCACCCTGAATAACCCCTGAACCACAAGCTGGCAAAATTTTCTATGCAAGCACAATGACAAATTTTTAAAACAAAGGAAACATTAAATTCATATGTTCTGACCGAATTACGAGAAGCATGGGACGAGGAATGCCACGAATGACCGCCATAACTCTGTCAAAATGCTGTGCTGCTTGTTCCTGCATGTATTGCAAATCTGCCGCGGTCAGACGCACAGACATCTTAGTCGTTCCATCTTTCACAATCGGTCGCTGCGTCAAAATCTCAGCCAAAGTGTGCCAATCTGCAAGTCATCGTATTCGTGCGTGAACTCGAAATGTGCTCAAGCAGCTCGAAAAAATAATTTATGAAACCTTGTCTCAGCCCAACAAAATTGCACGATTTCGGCTTTAACATCATTGTGCTTGCTGTGGAAGTGATTCAGAATTAATAATTAATTTCTACCCCGAAAACGAAAATTTTGTAATTCTAGAACTATTCAGATTCATGCGTGAACTACCGGAAATACTACAGCATAGCTATGCGAATATATGACACCATTATTCTCAAGAAACGCCAATTTAAAAGCATTAAATGCCAAAAAAGTTTCTCGACTAATTTAGGACAGCATTTTATTTTATCAGGCATGGAATACCACTGCATAAGTGGACCGAAAAGTATGACGAAATTACAAGCACTGAAACGAGAAACAAAAAAGAACCTCCATTCTTATTCAACAAAATCGAGCTTGAGAGCAAATTCAAAATTGAAATACGTTTTTAGATTAAGAAAACATATTGAACCTTTTGACGGATACTTTCTGACACTTGCACTTTGAATTTTTCTGGTTTATTCTTGCATTCAGTTCAGATCAGGATTTCATTTAAACTAATGTCCAGCGCGAAGAAAATGTTCGATGAGTTAATAAAATATTAAAATTAATTCAATAAGAGCACATTCTTGAACCACGAGGATAAAAATACGGTAGTACAGTATTTTTAACCAGAATTTAAGATGCCATGGATTCAAAAACACAGCGTAATTTTTCTCCATTTCGAAGTCAAAATAAGTGCCCCTCATATTCGCGTTAGTACATCAACATACGACAAACATAGATCAAGGGAATATAAAAAAAGCACGACAAACGATCACGATATAGAAACGTGGAACGCGCAGAACATTGATCACCTGACAACGAGCAAAACCTCGGAGGGCATCGCCCGAAGCATCATGGAGACCCTGACGCGAACCCGTTCGTACTTCGCAAGAAAAGCTTTCTTCTCATCGGGAGACATCTTCTCGTAAATTTCTTTGTAGTTCAACGGACCTTCACAGCCAAACATCTCGTTGCTTTTTCTAAAATCACTTCCGCCAAAATCGGGCACAAATCGTTGGGCTAAGAACATGGACAGCAGACGATAGTCTTGCTCTGCAAAAACCGACGGATCTCGCGGTCAAAATTTTTACGTTTGACGAAGATGATCATTAGATCCAATTTGTCCATTCTTCCCGAAATAATTAATTTTGGAACCCGAAATAAAATTTCCAAAAATTCTTGCAATTCGCGAAGGTAAGAAAGAACATGAGACGTTTACAATGAAACTCTCCGAAGAGCTTGAGTAGTTTTCTGGGAAGAAAATACGAGGTTTATCGGTTTCCAAGCATAAGGAATACAAAATACTGTACTGAACTCTGAAAAGCCAAAAGAAAAAACATTTTCCAGAATTTGAACATGATCAGATCACAAAGACGGATCGTGTTGTTCATCCTCGAAAATTACATATGAATAAGTATTTCTACTGCTCTAGCTAACTGTACCACGAAACCCAGTGGAAGAAATTCAATCACCTCTTTTCAATTTCTGTATATTCATGAATTATGATGAATAATTCTTTATGATCTCCTGCAAGATTTGGACGTCAGCGGGTGCCTAATTTCGACCCAAATAAGCTGAAAATATACTTGAGTATATTAATTGAGTCAGAAAAAATCGAAAAATAATTGAACGAAGCGGTGGGCATTTTCCTCGACTAAGTGCAAAAACTGGATAAACCACGAATTGAAAAAATCTTTACGCTTGGAGGGTATCATTTTCTTCAGTCACAAAAATTTAGGCATAAACATCATCATTGATGTTGAATGAAACATAAATAGAACCACTCACCATCAACTCCCAGGTTCTTAGTGTACTCCCGCATTCCGCCATGATCTTGAAGAATAATACTTTTCCACAGGTTGCATAAATTATGACGGACTCTGTTTGGAAGACGCTCATACAGTCCATGGTCCAAAAGCACCAATTCCGCATCACCCTGTTTTGATTTTCGCACAAGAACTGAAGTAGAAAAAAAACGCGTTAACATGAGAGGAAATTAAATTTCAATACGTTGACTTCATTAACATTTTCCTAAGAGCATTTTTCAACCACACATGAACATGAGAAATTCTAACCGTAATTATTTGGATAGTGGGACAAGAAAAAAAGGTGGACAGAGAGCGAAAAAAAGATATTCAGTACTGTAGTCTAATTGAAACCACTCACTATTTCCAGGGTGAGGATCAGCGTGAACAAATCCAGTGTGAAAGATTTGCTCGGAAAATGCATTCACCAACTTTTTGTCTATATCTTCCAGCGACAAACCAGCCTTTTTCAAGGCATCAGAGTCGCTAATTTTCATCCCATTAATGAATTCCGTCGTCAGAACCCGCTAAAATAATACAGTATATCGAACGAAAAAATAGTCAGTGACATTGATCACGAAACAGCCCACTCATCATTTTGGAAAAAGATGAAAATGAGATCCTACAGTAATTCGAATGTCAACTATCAAGGGTTCCTTTTTTCGTCATTGAAAAGCAAAACTAACGCACCCGAGAAGTCAAATTCCATTTTACTTTTGGCACGTAAATGAAGGGAAACTTCGAAAGATCCTTGGCACACCGTTCACCATTCTTAGCTTCATTGATGAAATCCAACTCTTGGGCAAGAGTTTCTTTCAAATCCTACATGGATGTGAAATACGAAAATGCTTGCATCAAATTACGCCCCTTCAAAGATAAAATTGGGCAAGACTTCTTCTCGTACTTGAATAACCCACTTGAAGGCGAAATTCGGGTGCATGAACCCGATCAAGTCCAACAAGAGCTCGACCGTTCGCACATCTCCATAGAATCGGTCTTGAAGATCAATGTATTGCACTTTCACAGCCACTTCTTTATCGTCCCATGTCTTGGCTTTATACACCTAAGCCACACAATCGAAAAGTTGCCAACAATCAAGAATCGCAAAATCACAACGGAAATTTTTGTTCTCACCTGAGCGAGACTAGCCGCAGCAATCGGTTTCGTATCAAACTCCCTGAACACTTCTTCTACGGGTTTACCGAAGTCTTCCTCGAAAAGCTGATGCAATTCTTCTTCCCGTCTCGGTAGAACTTTATCTTGTAATACCTAAGTATCAGGGAACGTCACGCATCTGATAGCAAATGATACACGTGGGATGGTTCATAAGTTCGATCAGTCTCATGAGAGTATTTTTGCATAGATACGGACCAAATATTTAAAACGTATCGTCTCATAATTTGCTGAACGCCTTCACCCATTTCGCTCACGAAGGTTGAGATGGGGAGAAAAACGTTGTATTGTAAACGCATTCTATCGCTTTGAGGAAATACAGCTTGCACATTCTTTCTTTACGTTCATAACAATTTTAGGCAGTCCAAGAAGTACCAAATGCGGTACTTGAAAGAATTTTAAAAATCTCAGCAACTATGTCTCACATTCAACAACCATATTCAAAGATGTAATGTTAAACATTAGCAAATTGTTGATGGATGTTAACGTAAACATGGACTATCCGTAATTTGAACATAAAAAGTTGCCCTGATCAGGGATACAATCAACAGGAACTGACATCAAATGTACAAAGATTTAAATTTTGTCTGTACTCTCGTCATCAATACCGTAGTATTCAAGATTCCGGCTCGTGAAATTCGGTACTTCAAGAACTTCGAAGGTACTGATCTAACTTCTGAATCACCCTCGTATTTTCACCGAACATACTTGCAAGGTGTTGATATATTCCGGAGGTAGAATGTGATTCATGCAAACCAAACCCTGTCCGAGTTTTATGTATACTCCGCCATTCTGCATGCAGCCGGCAGCTAAACTTTCGGCGGAACGAAGGTGAATTTTCTTCATTTCTTCGGCGTACTCCTTGGAGCTCTCGTCGAAACCACGAAGAGATATTGCATAGTCGAGAGAAATCTGCATCCCGATCTTCATAGATCTACAAATATTTTAAATTGTGCATTTTTTTAATAGTTCTTGTGAAGAGTTCGTCAAGCAATCGATTAAATCTGCTCGATTTCAGTCAATTCAGTTACATATTAGATTCGAAATACTATACAGTACAGTACTTCAGATTCAAGGACAGCAAGATTTCTTCCCTACTGTTTTCGTCATTTCAAATGATTTTGTTTTCGCATTTGCACAGCCGTGAGATCGCTCGTTTAGCTCATTACACATAAAAATGCTTAAAATCCGCAAAAGAAATATTTCTCTACTTCCGTACTCGTAAAATGCTAGTACAGCATACTGCACTGTTGCCAAAAAAAAAAAATTGAACGTAAATTCCATCAACATTTCTCGTAGGAAATGTCGGACTAACAAGATCCGGCAAACACTACTGAACCTATTACCGAGGATTTCCTTCATAAACGATGGGAAAGATTTACTACTTGGACGGTCCAATTCGCGAATTCCATTTCTAAATTCGTGCGCAACAGATTCATTCATAAATGTCCCAAAATTCGGAAAATCAGCGTGGTGAAGAAAAGTACACATTTTGAACTCTGTGGTCATACCGAAAAAATCTGCCGAATCCTTCTAAAAGAATGCGCACTTTCCTCTGCTCTTGCGAGGGCAACGAATAAAAAGCGGCAGCACCGCCCACACTGAGAAGAGCTACGCTCTTCAGAAAAAATCTTTTCTTCTTTGGCTGACTCTGGACATTTTTTGACGATGATCCGAATGGTTGTCGCCGGATACATTTCAAAATTTCTGCATTTCTCTTGAGCCAAGTTTTTTGTGATTGCACAGAATAAATAGATTTCCGAAATATTAGTAAGGAGGTCATCAGAGAAAAATTCAACGCACGAAGTCCCTGGAGGTAAAAACAAAAACGATTAGCGACTGAAAATAAATTCATGCAGACAAACAAAATGCAAGAAAAATTCATCGTTTTGAACTTGTATTCTCGCTTTTAAACCACAGAATATGAACAACTTCTGACACGCGTGAATATATTGCACAGGGAAAAAATCCATGCCCGGTGGGGGTGATAGCATCACAAGTTTCATTTTGAGATTAATACCACAAACAAGCCATTGTGCCACAAATCATTTAGAATTGACACCTAATCACCTTCGTGAGTTCTTCTAAGATGCTATCGCAGACGTTTCATTCACACTATTTGATCTAAAATTTGAACAATAAAAGAGAGCACCTACAAGTTACACTACTTTCCCAAGAAGCTTTGCAGTTCAAGTGATGACCGTAGGAACTGAACGACCGGTATACGCAGGCAGCTTGGAAATCTCAAGCGCAATGTCAACCAGGGGCTTCAACATGTCCTAAGAAAAATAATGAGACAGAAGTTAACATTTGTTCGTGCTTCGTACAAATAAACCCTCATCTGACCTGTGCACTCAAAATCTGCTTCGCTGGATCATCCTCAAAGCTGTCCAGATAAAGCCTAACTGTTGCCCCGCTACTTCCAGTGCCACTCAAGCGCAGAACAATTCTTGACCCATCAGTGAACACGATCTTCAACCCCTATCAATCAAAGAAAAGCGTGAGGATCATGAATATTCAAACCACAAAGAGTACAGATTGAAGACAGGGACCAAAATTGTACTCATTAACTGCGCTGCTCCGTATAATGCGCTCATTGTAAAGCAGATTTTTTTGCACACGGGCTGCCAACAGACTTTTAGAAGATAACACTTGTTTCATACTTGACAGTGTTGAACATTATCATTTTTTGGAGCATTTTTGCTACAAGTTGATTTATTAGAAAATGCAATAATTGTATTACAGCCGATGCAGCAAGGTCTAATCTAAAAAAAACCAAATTGATCATACAAATATAAAATGCAAACAGAATTTAGAGGACCAATTAAATTCTGGTTTAAAATTCATCAAAATATACAATACAATACTTCCATGCACAATAAAAGGATAATAAAAACTCAACAAATTTCCTCAAGAAAATGGTCCGTAAACTGCCCACTGCACTCATGTATAGCAGATTTACCAAGGTCAGACATAACCATAAACCCGAATTAATGCTACAGAAACTAGAAAAATATTGGGCGACATCGACCGTATTTAAAAACGATGTGACGCCACAAACTCTAAATCCGCGATTTATCACGAAGAAAAATGAAAATATTTTGATCGAAACGAACCTGACGTTGCGAAACGCTTCCGTCAATAGGATCCGTATAGCTGAAATTGTCAGCTTGGGAAACCTTGAATGACTTTCCACCAGCAGAAAATTCCTTCCCAACGAAGCCTGGAGAGGTCATAGCAAGCTCCAATTCTTTCATCATCTGATCACACGGAGCAGCCTCGCAATTTTCATAATCGTAGCTACAAATACAGCATTTTTTTTTCAAAGAAAATGAATCGAACATAAAAATCATGAAATAACTATCCCGAAAATCATGAAATAACTATACCGGGTAAAGAAATTCCGCCCGTATTTCTGCCAGTGGGCTGTGAGAAGTTGCTCAACGGTTTTTCCACTAGCGGCTAGGATTTGAAGCCAAGCCAACGCAGCCCAAATACCGTCTTTTTCGCGAATATGATCGGAACCTGTGCCGAAGCTTTCTTCGCCACAAAGAGACAAACGTCCGGCATCCATCAGATTGCCAAAAAATTTCCAACCAGTTGGCACTTCGAACATTTCCTTTCCAGATGCCTTTGCCACACTGATGATAAAACCCAATTAAATCCGGGGGGAAAAAGAGAAAAAAGTGAAGCTAGAAATCACCGATCTACGGCACCAGCAGTCGGCATACTTCTCGCAAATCCCTTCAACCCGTGTTTCGCGAAGTAAGGAATGCATTCCGCGTTGTCGGCGATAACTGCCAATGAATCTGAAGGCGTGACGAAGAAGGCTTTCTCACCTAAAATCATATTCCGATCCTAAAAAAAATCATTTTACAGTATTACTGAAAACAGTAATTCTTTTTTTTTTTTTAAATATGAATATTTTAAAAATGTTTATGAGCCACATCCGCAAAAAATGATAACCGAACTCGCTCAACATGTCAACAAACCTAACATGTTGAAGTACAGTATTGGAGCTAATGAACCCGAAGTAATAATTTACCTATACTGATCGCCACTTCATGAAAAGTACCGTCAATAGACTCATACCGACAACTTAGGAGAATTCCTAAACCATATCTGACCAAGCGTAATAACAGTCGTGCATGAAAAAATGGCCCATTAAATGAGCAAATAAGCAACATTACTCAGTGCTTGTTGATCAACCTATCCCTAGTGAATTGTTTTCAGACAGACGAAGGATAAACTAGTGCAGAAGCATTGAGGGGAAGTTCTGAATTTTCTTATTGCGGAACAGCGAGGAAATGCGACCAAATTGAGATACTCACGCCGTCACCATCGAAAGCAGCTCCGAATTGAAACGGTCCTTGCTTCATAGCCTCAACAAGACTCGCAGCGTACGTGAGGTTCGGATCTGGATGCAGACCGCCGAAATCAGGAAGCGGCTTCGAGTTCACTACACTGGCAGCTGGAGCCCCAAGCTCTTGACAGAAAATGGCTTCCAAATATGGTCCCGTAACTTGAACAAAAATGCTCGTTGAAACCAAATAAATGCCAATACCTGAACATATAAAATCCTTACCCCCGTTCAGTCCATTCAAGAGTACCGGCACGGCAGGCTTATTACCATCGCCCTGCAACATGGTTTTGATGGGCGCGAAATCGAATATTTCTTTCATGTACTCCAAGTAATCAGAAACGGTATCAACCACTTCGACGGTGAACGGATTGCCGTCAACCTGCAAAAAAAAAAGTTACAAAAAACGACTGCAAAAATGTTTCAGGTTCGATTCGCGATTCGTGCTACGTACCACGTATTCCGTAGTAGCGATCTTGGAAAAATCACAAGACAGATCAGGAACATGTTTGTACTCTTTGATGGAAAGCGTTAGTTTGTAAATAGCGTCCGTCACACCTTCCGGAGCAGGGCCTATAGAAGCCAAGAAAAAATTAGCCTTCTGTGATACAGTCGAAAAGAGAAAAACTATGAAAGAAAAGCCAAGACCAATCGCTTTACTAAACCCAATCTTCTGACTTTTCAAATCCTTCTTTTCGGTTTTCTGGAGTATAATGCGGTTTAAGAACATTTTCACGTATCAAAAATGTAAAAAAAAAAGTTTTAAAAATCACTCACAATGATCAACTGATCGATTTCATGACGGAAAAAACAATTCGAAGAGTAGAATATAGTAATTTGAAATTTCTTTGACACACCGTGAATCAGAAAAACTTACCACCATTGCTAACATTGAATTTAATCCCGAAATCTCCATCAGGTCCGCCGGGATTATGACTTGCAGTCAGAAGAATACCTCCGTCAGCTTTCCTCTTCCGAATTACGTGAGAAACGGCAGGTGTTGACATAATACCATCCAAGGCAACGAGCAATTTTCGCACCTGAGAAAATGACAGTGCCAACAACTTGGCCGCATGAAGAAGGACGAGAGGTATCTCACCTGATTACCGGCGCAAATTCGGATGATTTTCTCAACAGCTTCATGGCCATAATAACGTCCATCGCCACCAACAACCAGAGTAGAGCCAGATAACTTATCTTCCATGGAATTCAAAATACATTGAACAAAATTTTCCGTGTACTTTTCGGTTTTGAAAGTAGGAACAGGCTTCCTCAAGCCACTGGTTCCAGGCTTTTGGCCCGGGAACGGCTCAGTTGAAACAACAGCACTGCTCAAAGACATTCTCGGGAATGGAGGGACACGCTTTTAGGAAAGTCTCTGGAACAGAATACGGTTTCCGAAACATAACTCATCAAAAAGACCGCAAATGATCGTCGAGGATATAAAAAAAACGACGAACGAGCTAATCTCGAGCGATGACTGGTTGTTGCATCTATGAATTTACATAAATCTACGATGAGACGACGGAATTCAAAGCTTCGGAATAAAGCGCCTTAATAACGAAGTTGAATATTTCAAGGAAGGAAAAAGAAACGCGACCCAGTTAAGATATCGTCCGTTGCGTGCCTCGCATCACGAACCGTGATTCGGATGAAACTTAGAGGCCAACACAGCATCTACACGGATTCAAACGTGGGCTAAAGCGAGATCAGAACACGCAAATCTTTGTTCAACTAGAACACTTCAAATTTCAGAACTAAATATAATTAATTACAGAAGAATTCACAACCTTAACCCAATCTGCGCTCGTTGCTGTATGGTTGCGAATCTCTAGCTAGGCGGTCCACGGGCTAGGGAAATTTCCGCACCCGTTCATTACGCGGACATACATTGAACATGGGATTGCAGAATTATTTTTTTTCGCTGTAGGGTACAGTACAGTAAGGCATTGCCATGACTTACAGAGCGACATCTAGCGCAACAGTGTTTTACTAATTATTCTTCTACAGCCCCTAGACCTCATATCTCTAGATCAGTAGCAGGATGGAGAGGAACAGTAAGTGTGCGGAAAGTGTAGATGAAGTACACGTAAAAGTACAGAGTATATTTTCTTGTCGTAGGCGGTCGGTTCTGACGAGGACACAGAAGGGTTTATTTGCACAAGACACACGATACACGGAGATTGCCCTTTCCGGCGGATGTTTTTCCCGGTTGGCGTTAGGGTCGCGTCCTTGTAGATCTGCGGGAGAGATAGCGTGATAAAGTTGTGTTCGAGATTGGTATCTCTCACTCTCCCCCCCCCCAAAGAGACGCTTGTTGCCAAGCGTCTGTTGCTTGATCGGGCTGTTGTGCCCGGGTTCGTGGCCGCGGGGTCAGTGGCCCCTGATAATAGGCATGGCCCCCGTGTGCGGTTGCGGGCGGCCGTGCAATAAAGGTGCTTGCAGACCGCTGCCGTCGTCACTGCGTCGTGGCTGCTGCGCGTGTAGTGGTGTTCCGTCCTGACGTCTGGTGGCGGCTGGGGCGGCATTGCTAGCAGGTATGTCAGGTGTTTGTCGTATCCGGGCTGAGGTGCCCGGGGCCCGTGGGCCCAGGGTTGGAGCTCCCAGGCTGGCAGGATGGCAATCCTTGCGTCGACGCCCACTGCGTATCGTCCGGGCATGTGTCGCCGGATGATCATGAAGGGTCCAAGTCGCTTTTTGCGGAAACGTCGGGATGCAGCATGGATATGCGAGGAGGCCATACGTGGTCGGACCGCCACCATGTCTCCGGGCTGGAAAATCGGGTGTTTGCTGCGGTTGGCCTGGCGGAGGGCCTGTGCCTGCTGCCGTTGGAGATGCTGTTGTACGGCCGGGAGATCGACTGTCGCGGGGGTGTCCACGCCGAAGTGGTCGTCTGCGAGAAGCCGTGGAGGCTTGCCCCAGAAGAGTTCGCTGGGCGTTGTGCCCGTGGTTGTATGCGGCGTGAGGTTGTATGCCGCCACTGCTGTCGGTAAGTATAGGTCCCAATTTTTTGAGTCGCCCTTCGCGAGTTTGGCCTGGATTTGGCCGATGGTTCGTATGGCGCGTTCGCATGTGCCGTTGCCCTCGGGGTGGTTACCCTGGGCGATGTGCTGCTCGCAGTTGGCCTGTGTTAGGAATTGGCGAAACGCCCGTGATTTGAACACTGCCGCCCTGTCGGAGTGAATCGTGCGGAATTTTCCCAGGTCCTGGAAGATGGTGTGAATCGCGCTGATGGCGGTGCTGGTGTCGGCGCGTAGCACCGGGATGGCTGTCAGGAACTTAGAGTACTGGTCGATTGCAACCAACGCATACTTGTGGCGGTCAGCAGAACGGGGAAGTGGCCCGTAAAAATCGATGCAGAGGCGGTCGAATGGTTTGGCCCCTGGGAGGCCTTGCATCTTTTCCCCTGTGATCTGGGAGCTGTCGTTGTATGTAAAGCACTCCAGGCAATCCACGAGTTGCTTCCAGATGGTGTGTCGCATGTGCGGCCATGTGAAGCGCGCGCGGATCGTTTGTAGCACCTTCTTCCAATTGGCATGACCCAACTCTTGGTGGTATCGTTCAATAACTTCGCGGGTTTGGCCCGGGTGGACGGTGGTGCGTAGGTCCGCGGCCAGGATCAAGACTCGGCTAAGTGCGTCGGGTGCCTGGAGCAGTACCCCGGGCCGGTATTCTATCTCGCCCTGGTACTGGCCCAGTTTCATCTGCAGGCGTATCAGGCGGGAGGATTTGAGCTCGCCCAGGAGGGGCTGGTGATCGGTGATCATGCGGAATGCGCGGTGTTCCAGGTAGTGCCTGAATTTTTTCGTCACTGCCCAGACCATGGCCAGGAGTTCGCGTTCCATGTTCGTGTACCGTGTCTCCGCGTCGGTGAGCACCCGGCTGGCGTACTGGATGACGGCGGGCCCGTTGTCGGGGTGGATCTGGACTAGCACCGCACCTAGGCTGGTGGCGGATGCATCCGTATGGACTTCGATGGGTTGCGCTTCGTCGTAGCGCTCCAGGCGTGCTGCCTGTGCGATGGCCTGTTTGAGATCCCGAAAGGCTTGGTCGGCGGGTGCGTCCCAACGCAGCGTGGTGCTTGGCTTGGCCGGGATGGTGCTCCGCAGGATTTTTTCTGCTGTCGCGAAGTTGAGGGGGATGTGAGCCCGCAAGTACGTGGCCAAGCCCAGGAAACGTTGCATCTCTTTCGTTGTGTTGGGCCGCGGGTACTGTTCGACGGCAGCAAGGTTGTGGGGGGCCGGCCGGGCCCCCGTTTGATCGATGACCAACCCTAGGAACTCAATGTGGCGAGCCAGGAACGTGGACTTGCTGATGTCGATTGATGCGCCGGCGTCGTCCAGTGCGGTGAGTACGTCCTGTAGGTTCTGGCAGACCGAGGCAAACGTTTCCCCGAAGACAATTATATCGTCGATGTATGCCAGGCACTTTGTGAGGAGGTGCGGGCGCAGGATCGAATTGATGGCCCGCTGAAACAGGGCTGGCCCGTTTCGTAGTCCAAAAGGGAGAACCGCGTACTGCATCTGCCCTTGAGGGGTGGAGAATGCGGTCTTGGGGCGGTCCTGTGGCACAATTGGCAGATGGTGGAAGGCGTTGTGGAGATCGACGGTGCAGAAGTAGGCGTTGCGGCGTCCCAGTGCGTCGACCAGGTCCTGTATAATCGGCATGGGATAGTTGTCAGGAACCAGCAGCGTGTTGATTTTTCTGTAGTCCTCAACGAGTCGCCATCTTTTGGTTGCAGGTGCGTCGGCGCGGCCGGATTTCTTAGGTGTGAGAAATGCCGGTGAGTTGTATGGAGACGTTGCGGGTTCGATGATCCCGGCGGCGACGTAGTCGGCAATGATCTCCTTGAATGGAGCCAACTTGTCGGGTGCCTGTCGGAAAGGCGGTGAAGCAGGCGGGGCGGCGGTCGTTGTCTCCAGGGTGACGGTGTATTCGGGGAGGCAGCCATGCCGTCCCGACCACTGGAACACTGCATCCTGGTGTTGTACCAGAATTTGACGGATTTCGTCCCGTTCGTTGGCCGTCCCATCGATGAACGTGATGCCTTCGCCGGGTGTCATGCTTGGGGTGGCGCGGCGTTTGGCGTGGAATCTGTACCCGACGTAGAGGCGGTTGCCGTCGAGTCCAATGGTGATGGGCAGACGTCCCAAGAGGTCCCGTCCCATGATGACGGGATGCGCGGCGCGTGGCAGGACCCATAGGGTGGTGGGGTAAGGTTTGTCGTGGATTAGCAGGTCGACCTGGACCATGTCCGTGATGAGGATGTTTGATGTGTCGGCCGTGGATACGTTGACGTTGGTTGGGCGGTGCTGGAGGCCGTGTGTTGTGGCCCATTGTCGTTCCACGAATGAGTGTGAAGCGCCTGTGTCGATCATGGCGTCGCACTGGTGGTGGCCGACGGCCACTTGTAGGAGGATGGGGTCGGAGGCGTCGGTTGCGGTGGTGAGAGAGCAGAGCGCCGCCGTTACTGCTCCCTCCGTCTGTTTCCCTTCAGTTGAGGGCACTCTTTGGCGTGGTGTCCCGTCTTCTGACAGGAGGCGCACGGGAGAATGCTGCTGGCCGCGGTGTTGCCGGTGCTGGCCGGGGCCGTGTCCGTCTTCTCCTTGTCGTCGCGGTCCCGCTTGGTATAGGCCGGGTGTTTGGTTTCCCGAAAACGTGCGCAGCAGGTTTCCGTGGTGTGCCCCTGGGAGCGGTGCCAGTCGCAGTACAGCTTGGCGCCCGGCGTGGTGCGGGTTTGGCGGTCCGTCCGATTTTTTGTGGGCATCGTCGCGGTGGAGGTGCTGTCGGACTGTTCGTCGAGCAGGTTGTGAATGCTGTCGGCTAGGTCCACTAGTTCGTCCCACTGGATGTCTGGTTTTGTGTTGAGCTTTGCACGGAGTTTGTCGGCGATGCGGGCGTCGGCCACCTGGAGGAGTTGTTCGGTGAGCATCGGATGCATGATGTACAGATGGTCCGGTGTGACGTTGTCCGGGGCGAGACAGAGGAACAGCTGGTAGTCGTCCTGTAACCGCTTGGCAAAACAGCGGTACGTCTCGTTGGTGTTGATTTGCAGGTGACGGAAGCGTCGGAGGCGTTTGAACTGCGGCGTCGGGTGGAACCTGGTGATCCCCTTGACGAGGTCCTCGAACGTGTGTGCGCCGGAGGCGTAGGCGCGGCGGGCCGTGTTGGAGACGTCGCGGGAGGTGTTGTGGATGAGGCACCTGACCTTGTCGTTGTCATCGACGTTGTCGATGATCAGGAGTTCCCGTAAACGGATGGCGTAGTCCTCAAAATCCTCGTCGCTGTCCTGCTTCGGGAGGTCTGGGGCGCGGTGGTCGTGGACGCACCGCGACGGCGGTGGCGGTATGCGGGGCCCTGGAGGGCTGGCTGATGTAGCGTTATCTGCGTGGGACATCTGGAACATTAGGAGGGTTACCGGCGAGATGTTCAGGTTTTCGAGCAATGTGATATAGCTTGGTTTCTCCGTAGTTGGCGGGCGTTTGGCCACGTAGGTCTCCGTGAAGCGCTGCAGTGTCGTCAAGGAGATGAAGTCCCACGGATGCGGCGTCGAGGTGGAGGAGATTGCACTGGGCGGCCTGCCCAGCGACGACTTGGATGCGGCGTTCTCCGTTGGTGGGGTGGGATGTTCTGGCTGTTGCCCGAGGGATGCTGCGCATGCTGTCTGGACCTGAGCCAGCTCGAGGGCTGCCCGTTCGGCGGCTTTGGACGTTTCCGTATCCCGGGGCATGGTGATGGTCGTGGTCGGGTCTGATGGTGTAGGTTGGCGGACGAGCCCCCAGTAAGTGTGCGGAAAGTGTAGATGAAGTACACGTAAAAGTACAGAGTATATTTTCTTGTCGTAGGCGGTCGGTTCTGACGAGGACACAGAAGGGTTTATTTGCACAAGACACACGATACACGGAGACAGTAAGTGTGCGGAAAGTGTAGATGAAGTACACGTAAAAGTACAGAGTATATTTTCTTGTCGTAGGCGGTCGGTTCTGACGAGGACACAGAAGGGTTTATTTGCACAAGACACAAGATACACGGAGCAGCGAGGAGACGTGGTCGGTGCAGAAGTCTGGACTGGAATGGAGTCTTGTGCTTTGGGGTCGTCCTTATGTGTCCGTGTGTGTGACCTCGGTTCCGTTAGGTTTCGTTGTCTTTTTCGGCGGCGGGGTCCGTTAGATGCCATTGCCCTTTCCGGCGGATGTTTTTCCCGGTTGGCGTTAGGGTCGCGTCCTTGTAGATCTGCGGGAGAGATAGCGTGATAAAGTTGTGTTCGAGATTGGTATCTCTCACTGAACAACGGATAGCTCCAGTGAGGAGGCATTCTGGTGTTTGAGCTTGACTTGTACAGTCCTACTCTTGTTTTAACTCTGACTTTGTGTGTGCCTGTGACGTCGAAGAATAAACTTGTACGTTGAGCCGTGATCAAGGACTTTATTTCCCCGAATTCCTTACTGTACTATATAGGCAATGAATTAATTTCAAGAAATTTACACACCCAGCAAGCCTACAGTACTGTATTGCATTCTCCCTGATTATTTCATTCTGGCGGAAGTACGCATAAACAGAAGTGTCTTCTATGCGCTTAGTTGATAGCTCACAATTTATGCAGCTGCTAATTGTTTGGATTAGTCTGAATTCTTGTGATTCAAATTTAATGCTTGAAAATCCCTGAAGTCTGCTTGCTCATCTGCTGACGGGATTTTTCAAGTTGCTTGGATCATATTAACTATGAATTACTGTGTAATAGAGCTGTAAATTGAATGATGCAGAATATTTTCCTTTCAATGGATCATATGATTCTAGCTGTTGTGTATAATCCTTAGCATTTCAATATTTCCTACTGGAAACTGGGGTGCACATCCTAATACGCTAGAATAAGCTTTTACCGAATTTTGCAGCCCCCCCCCCCCCCCCCCCCCCCCCCCACCAATACCCTAAAAAAAATTTTTCCCCAATTTTGCCGCCCCCCCCCCCCCCCCCCCAAGCACTGGGGCATTTCTTCTGTTATTGTGTGAGTTTACTCGAACAAATATTCTGTCGTGTAGTAATTTTTACCATTGGTCAACCATTTTCAGGCTAGCCCTGCATATAATACATCTTATACTTGAACATGTAACCTCGATTTTTCAGGATGACAGGTACAGTGCCATGATTCAAGCGAATACAAATCCCCAAACTTCAACTGATAATCTTTATTCCTTGCATCATCCACCTCCATGTGTCCACCGAAACGTTGATCGACGACAGATTATCCTTCAAACATTAACCAGGCGCGATCGAGAGCAGATAACCCCACATCCGCACCAATGGAATACCGTCGAAATCACTTCTTTCTACAATATCAATAATCTCCGGAATCTGGCAATCCAACGTATAAATCGATTTCGAATCAAAACATAAAATCGTGGAAATCCTGGATTCGGCAAAAACGTAATTACGTTCAACAGTAGGAGAAACGCAGGTAAAAACGAACGCTGGCACTGTCCAACCGAGGCATAACACTCGCGTACACTTGACTTAAAGCTAGAAAAGCGAATTTCCCACGGTTTTCATCAAGTACAGTAGTACAAAAAAGGCGAGCTCATCTACACAGGAGAGAGCAGCTTACTCGCGAGTGAGAAAGACGAGAGAAATAGGAACACGAGGGAGAAATGAAATAAATTGTAGAAGGAAAAACCGAGCCAGTATACAAGAGGATGCAATCCCAGATGACAAGAAACTTTGAACCCTTCATCCCATCAACGATCACTCTGCAAGGGTAGTCAGATATCCGGCTTGCGAGGATTTCCCTGGAGCGATAACTTCGTCCTCGCCATCAGACAAATCTTCAGCGGTTAGTACCGAGGATTCTCTGCTGCCTGCCTTCGGGCGACGCTTCGTCGGTGGGCTAAATCACACGCATTCACATCTCAAAATTAGCAAGAGCTACGAAGAAATCAACGCGAATGCCGAGGATTTCATTCAAATTTTGTGTTTCTCGTACATATACAAGCAGTACATCGCTGAACAAACTTCCCCCTTTAATTCGTTGTATACTTCGGTTAAAGTTTTCTAATCGTTGTACGTGGTGCACGTTGGACGACAAGCGTCCGTCAGCTACAGATACGCAAAATTTCTGACGAGTCTAGGCCAGTATACATGAAAAATTGGTACACATATGAAATAGACGAAGAACATGACGTCGAGGAATTGTACGAAAATGTAATTTTCGGATACCAGGAAGAAAAATCAGGCTGGACAGACCAGAGGATCCTGTCACAGTATTAAGAGTTGGATTCAAAATTGCGCTTCGCAGGTTCAAAATAAAAGATCAAGTACAGTAATTTTTTCGGCAATCAAATTAAGAACCCCTGTTAGATGATTTAGTATCCGGTAAGTGGTACCAAATAGTGGATTCGCAACTACACAGGATGAAGTTGAAAATTGCAGCCCACCTGGTCCTGTATTTGATTTCCCAATGACTTTGCTGTATTTTACAATATTAAAACCGCCCATGCTACTCTCAGACAATGAGAGCGCAAAAGTTGAACATCGAGAAAAATCTTTAGTAAAAATTAAAGTTGAAAGATTTCGAATGCCAGCAATACGACGCCCAGTTGTAAAAAAAAATTTTAAACTCAGAAAATTTTAAGAAATGCATCCGATTATCAAAGTTTGGGTTCACATCATGAAGTTCTTTCTGACATTCCAATGAAGTCCAGCATTGATCAGATTTATCATTCTGTATGTGTACCAATATTCTTTTCTTATAAACCCACTCTTATAAAACGATTTCGCTTAAAGCGATTTTTTTTACTGTATTTGCATTATTCAAAAAGCTCGATTCAGCCCAGATACGAAGATGGCATGAACCGTATATTTCATCCACCATTGGAACTGGGAATTCGATAATTTGGCGAATTAATGTAGTGAATGAAGAATTCTCATTTATCTTTCCGTCGAAAAAGGAAGCGCTTCCTTTCCCGACACAACTTCAATAACATATCTAAGGAAAACTATAGGGGTAATGATTTCCAGCATCCTTCAATTAAAAACAACCGAGTAGAAAAACTATACTGTATATAGTTTTATACCTCTTCCCCCTTATCCCGCAATCCAAAGATGCTGATGTGGGAGGCGGAGAAATTGCACGGCGCTGCCAAATGTTTGACTGTAGAGAAAAAGAAAAAAAGAATCCCTGCTGTGTTGGAAAGCCGCGGAGAAAAGAAAAAGAAGTTCGCTTTCCCGCGTTTCAACTTTACCAAAGGTTCCCCGAAGAAGCCGATGAAATTGCTAATGTATTCCCGGGAGTTGTCCTTCCATCGCTGAATCATAGATGTACTGGCCCCTTCGATATTCTCCACAACCCGTTTCCCTTTATCTTTCAGCTCGTCCATCTTATTTTGAAACCGAAACTTTTGCTCCTGTGGATGCCAAGAAGAATAATACCGGTGCAGTATGAAACACCGTTTTTCTTTTTTTTTTGTGCCGCGGATGTGCAGATGAATTATTCCTGAACATTGATCGGAATTTGTCAGAATATTGAATATGAAAATGTGAGTAACCGCACAAATGCAAAACGCGACCAGACAATTGAGCGCAACACAGAACAACGGCCGCTCGAAACGGCGGTAAGCCGAAACATAAAGTGTATCATACATGTTCAAAACGTAAAGCACAGATCGTGAAAAATAGTCGAGAATTCCATAAAAATTTTTCTGAGGCTATTGATCGATTAATAAGCTTTTTCTGGTCTGGACCATGTTTTCGCAGTGGTACTTCGGATAATGGAAACTCGCTTGATGAATATCGTCTCCAAAGACCCGTGCGCAGCCAATTTCTGCTTTGCATAATGACACGGCTTCAGTTAGCAGACTGCTAGAAAACTGACAGTTCTAAAATTAAAATTATGATGAAAATTTGGATCCAGCATCGATTTTCAATTCTAGAAACTCTTTTTTGATAATCCTCAACGTAATGAATATTGTTTTTCCCCTTATTTAGTGTTTGTTCTTTCCACTATTTTGTAAAATTCTATTGAAACACAGATTTATGATGTCAAGGAAATTTCCGAAGGATTTGCGACAAATTACCTAAAACATAAGGAGTTGAATTATCCAGTAATTATCGGCCGTCCAATGCGGTTCACAAAATACTTGGTACATCGACTTTTTGGCTATTCGATTTCGCAGAAGTTCATTTACCGAGGCATCACTGCATCAACAAGAATAATTGTATCATGAATACTGTATAACATTTAAAGCTTTTCAATCCCCAACGGATGATACTGTACTTCAATAAAGCTGTTTTAAGTCCGAATCATTTTTCGCTCCTCCGTTTTCAACCGCATCAACACACGCTGTTACGGATGACATTGCTGCAATGTACATATGCTCAACAGTACCAGCAAAACAAAAACCAACCTTCATGAACGAGACATTCAGCTCCTTCGCGGTATAACCACGCGCCAAATTTCGTCGCACGTACACGTCGTAATCGCGTACTATTCTGGCAACGACATCTGATGTGGAAACGCCTTGAGTTCGCTGCGTGGCCAGAAACATGCCTTTCGCCTTAATGGTCGCGTACACGTCCGTTCCTGAGCCCGTCACGTACGGGATATCGTCGTGCGCCACAAAATCGATCTATCCAGCAAAAATTTGAACATAAAATTTAAAAATAAAATAATAAGGACGAAAGCCTGTAGACAGTATCTCCAACATTGGGAAATCAAACGTCACTATAAAAACAAGCGTCGTTCACATCATTCACGCGCAGAATAACGTCTTCAAACGAGCGATTTCTTTCACTATTAACCGAAAATAATGGGCTTTTCTAAAGCCACTGAAAAAGGAAACCGGAAATTTCTTTCAGAGTAGCGAAGGAGGATTCATGCACAGGCAACATTTACAACAGAGAGATAGCTATGCTTTTCATTTTCATGAATTCACTGAGAAATAAATATTTAACCAGAACGGAAAAAAACCCTGTTTCATTCATAGATGTGCCTTCAAGCCGAATCATGACTATCATACAAGAAATCAAGGAATCTATTGCCCAAGGTAGTTTGCTCAGGTGATACCATATTACATACAGAGTAATTTAACACGAAAGTTGATTTCTAATCTACCTAATTTCAATAAATGCCGAGAAAGAGGTCCATAATTTCCACGATTGAAACTTAAGAAATGCTGTAACAAATGAGAAAAATTATAATTGAATAAAATGCAAGCTAATACTGTATTGTACATTTCTAGACCGTTTCTTTTGTAATATTATTGCCAAAGCAGGCTAACGCATTCAGATTCACTTTTTGAACAGGCGGTTTTTGGGGTAACCAGGTCAGGACACCCGAAAATAATCCATTGAACAGGTAATATTACTTTAGAAGAGCTACCTGTTATTTTAGGGGAGCTTATTTTGCAAATAGAGTATACCTAAATAGAAAGAGCGTCGTAAAATAAATAAATAATTTATCCGCCTATCTGAATCCGGGAATAGCACATTAAATTGTAACGCTATACCGTTTATCGTATAGTATATGAACATAACTGAAGCCCTGACCTTATGCTTCATAAGATATTCCTCAGTGATTTCCCAGGGGCAATCACGAACTATTTCGTCAACATAACGGCAGTGTCGGATGGCTTCGTACCGCTCATCCTCACTCATAACGGTTCTTCCTTTCTTGCTGTGTGTCTGATGATCGCTTGTGACTGTGACGGAAGAAAAACGAAATTCCATCATCAAAAATAAGTGCATGTCGGTAAATTACAAACCTCCAACAATTAGGTAAATGTTCGGGAACGCGTTCTTTGCTTGCATTAGCTGACGCGCGTGCCCAGCATGGAACAGATCATAAATTCCGTCGGCGTAAACACGAACTTTCCTTCTGGCTGTAAAAATAAAAAGACGAGTCATTACACATAAATGTCAACGCAAAATTGCTCGAAGATGAAACAAAATCTATATAAAAACTTGAAACGTTCACAAGGGATATTACCAAGCAAATTAATCAATGGTACGATTGAAAAATATTAGCTACGATTATTGGCCAAGCAGCGGGAAATGAATAGAAAAGTTTAAATTACCATAGACCAGTTTTTTTTTTTTACTCCACTGAATCCATATTTTGAATTTATTCATCGATCGTTCGGTTGATCAGAGCTCTACTTTATTTTTGGCCACACTTGAAGAATACACTCTACAGTGATACTGCAATGAAAAATAGTTCGACCAATATTTTAACATTTGAAACAATATCAAACGAAGTCAACCAACTGTTCCATCATTCAAAATATGTTTTTTTACGGTAAATATAGCTTCGAAATCAGGTGAAAAAACGGAACTTCGTGTCAACCTGGGACTCGAAGATTCAATTGCGCTAAAAATGCAGGAATTTGGACGACTTCCCAAGGAGAAACGCACCTCTTCCAGCCTTCGCCATATCCATGGTAACTTTGATGGTATAATCGCAGGCTTCCCGCTCTTGAATGGCAGCCTCGTCATCGCTGAACGGTGCGGGTCCAACGTCATACTAAGAATAGCAAAAAAACCACAATCAGCTTCTCGCAATACCATACTTTTATTCGACAACAAAAATCAATCTCTCTTCGAAAACGCAGGTACATAATCCAACGCTCGCCGAAAAAGGCTAAAAATTATGCTTGAAAATGGAAAATACAAATCCACAGAAAAAAAATTCGACGGATAAATATCGCAGGATTTGTTCAAGAAAACCTACCAAAAATAATCAGTCACCAAAGCAAAACGTATTTATGCATACTTTAGTGAAATATTAAAACCTGGAAAATATTGTGCATAGTATTCCAAGAGTTACTGGGCAAAAAATAACTCCGATTCTCAACCTTGGAATCAATTCACGCAGAAGTACATAAACATTGGCAATGAAGACAAAATTTCAAAGTTTGAAAGCTTGATAGAATTTTAAAAACCGCAAAAAATCATTTTTTCTTCTTCAAATTATTACGGAAAACCAAATTTAGGCTTGTGTACGTCGCATTGCTCAAGCAAAAACTGATGCTCAAACCAAAAATCTGCTGATTTAACTTCGGAAGACCTAGCATGCAACGAAGGAAGGACGTTTTGACTACGAGCGACATCTGCGCAGGCCAAACAATTCGTCATCGTAAACCAAGTAGAGTAAACAATTTTTCTTTAATGAAGGTCGACAGTAATTTCTTGAACAACCCAAACAAGGCAAATGTATACCCAGGAAAAAACATTTTACCATAAAAAAGCTGAACAAAGACAGTCTACAGCGAATCGCGACACCGAAACGAGCTACGAAATAAAGAGTTTCAACTGGGAAGAAAATAAGAAACCGGTTCATTCCGAAGTGAAAGAAACAAGAATTACAGATCATCTAATGAAATTTAGGTGCATACAACTCGAAAAAGCCCTAAATCTTTTGCACCGGAGCAGTAATCGCAGGCTTTAGCCCTCAAATGCATGGTCGAAAAATAGCTTACTCGAAAATACACTGGTTACTCAAGAAACTTGCTGCTTATTCAGTATAAATTCCACAGCTTCAAAAACCCCGCAAGCGAATTTTAAAAAATCGAATGAAGCAAAATCGATTTTTTGTAACAAAATCGAATAACGCTCGAGAACAACTTCGATAGTGAAACAGAAAACTTTCGGATGTCAATATAAGAAAAACATAATCATCAGAGGCAAAGTTCCGCAAAAGCGATTGGCAACAATTTCAAAGCCTCCAAGCAACAAAAAAACATTCAAAATCGAAAACGAACAACAAAACTGCTACAAAAGTACTGCATTCAAAAGAAAATCACGAATTGATAACCATGTCAAGCGAAGCGACCGTGACACATGATATGAAATCAATCTAAGACTGATTCAGTCGCAGCTGCTACATACCGAGTCGGTACTCCACTCCGACCTCGTCCTTCGCGGCATGTCCTGGCGCGATTGGGAAAGAGAACAATTCAATCGAGGGAAAAGAGCACAAAACCTTGGAGCAATCAAGAACCAGGTAACACGTCAAAGTGAACAGCGTCACGCTTCGATAATTGAATGAAAACTTATTCAGTTTGGTACTGCTCAAACGTCGATATCTCACATGCATTATCAATATTCCCCGCAAATTATTTATTTACTCATAAACGGTATTCTTCATCATCAGGGATTGAAAACGGGGTTTCACAGGAAAAAGTGCAAAAGATGTTTTCCGTCGCGAACTGGAATTACCCTCAAAAAATGATTTTTTTCCAGTCGAGACTTTTTTGAAGAAAACTCTTTGAATGAAAACCATGTTCTCATTAAAAAATTAAGTAATGCAACATGTACTAGAGATAAAGCTTCATAATTTTGCTAACTCGCTTTCGAAAAATAAAACGAACAACGAAAAAATGAACATTCCAAAATTAAGCGTTTTACAGTTGACAACATGTTGACTTTCCTTTCGATGCGGAAAATTTTTTCGGAAGTGAGAACACTTTCGTGTGATTATCACAAATGGAATTCTTCATTAATTCATGAAGAATTTTTTCTCCGCCAAAATGTTATTTTTTGAGGCCAACAGAATACACTTTCTTGAAATCGCATCCTAATTTCGAGGTTCTTTTAATATTCGGTGCTGATAAGGGCTAAATCTGCTTCCAATTTCGGAAGAAAGACAGAAAAATACGGTTCAAGTAAGCAACTCTGAATGGAAAACCACCAATTGTATGGACACCTCAAAAACAGAGCTGGCGTTCAAATTTTGAAGGTGACTTCCAAAAATGCGGTTCAATGGAATGGAAATCAACATTAGCATGAAGAGGAGAGCATAATACACACACACAGTTCACTGCCTCAAAGAACGCACAGAAGGGCACTGAACCTAACCTGAGTTCGAACAGAAACTTTTTAACCTTGTGAGAAGAGAGCCTTCTCGTGAAGATGGGCTGAAGGGCAGCCACCCCTCACAGATTCCTTCATCGGACTAGAAAATTTATAAAATTCAATCGACCTTTCTTCAAAGATTGCGTCGAAGATTTCCGGAAAAAATGAAGAAAGTTAAGGAATAATAAAAATCCTTTGCATGGTAATTTTTTAAAATCTTTAATAATTTCTGTACTAATTCATATTCTTTATAATTAGTTCAACCCAAAATTGAAATTAGAAAAATTTGAATTTCAAAAATTATTTCAGCAAAAAATTAAATAAAGAACGCACACATAAAATTTGAACGGGGTATCTCGTTCAACGAAATTGCCATGATCATGAGAAAAAGAAGCAGATTGAAAAAACTAAAATACTGTACAACACACTACTTCATGTCCTATAAAACAAACGCCATCAAACGTTACTGAATACAAAATGCAAAGAAGTATAGTAATTTTTCCTCAGAAGACCAGTCACCGAAAAATGGAAATATTTGCAACAAGAAAAAATGAAATGTTGGTTTTCTACTAAGGGACTTCAGAAATGCATTTTAAATCGCAAACATCAAAAGAAGATTCTGCAGAATTTATTTCAGGAACGTGCTGGAAGTAATCAAAATTTACCTGGACAATTTTACCATCAACAACTGCAAATATCTATTCCTGACTTCACAAACAAAGTCACGATAGACTTCAGAGAAAGATAAAAAAATAAAGAGAGAAAAATACTTTTCTTGGAGCCAAATGAGCTATCAAAACAAATATGAAGAGCGAGGCGAAATAGGAGCTCGAAATCAACAAGAGAAATCTAAAATAGCACTTCCCCTCAATGAAGTCAAAATAAAGGTCTGATATTTTTTTTTACATCATGTCCGTCATCAAGGACAATCTGGACATGGAAAGAAAACGTCAGGACAGATAACATGATGCTTTCCGCCCCTTCAAGCACATATAACTACTCCAAGTCCTTTTTTTTACGAACCAAAGCACAATAAAATTCATTTTTTCTCGTCCCAAGATCACTAATCACACGAACGCAAAATTGGTCGAAGAAATAAGGAACGAAGGAAATAAACTACCGAATTCCCTTTTTCTCAACATTCTCTAATAAAAAAACCCCCGGCGATAACTCCCCTGTCCTTTTGATCAAATGAATGCCATTCCAAATTCACTTCCAGAGAGACGACCGTCACAAAAGCCCTCCAGCGATCCACAACACGCCTCTCCCAATAACACTAAACCCTAACACGAAAATAAGGATCTCGAATTTTCTTGCGCCAACACACGAACGAGACGAAGTATCATTTTGCCCTTGGAACAATAACCTCACCAACTCGCGCCACTTGAAAAGAGGGGCAAGAAAAAATAAAAATGGAGCTTCGATCATCAAACACACACGTTTCTCAGCTTATCAACCGAGCACTATGACTCCCACGTTCTACACCTTCAAGGAAAACTCAGAAATCACTTATCTTGAGTATACAGACTATACACTTAGTTCATTCCCACGTGCCACACGATTCACTCAAAACGAGCACTCGAACACAGATATATTCCCATCTCCACGTAAATGAAAAAAAAAAAAAACTTATCAATCAGAACGCCCGAACGCTTTGAAACCAAGATAATTTTCAATCGACGCATATTCGCACATTTTTAAAACTCAGAACATCCATACCATTCCGAAAATTAAGAAATAAATTTTAAGAGGATTCGAAATGCAATTGTTCTTTCTTTATCCAAAGAATCAAACAGACTTCAATTACAGTAGGATATCAAAAGGTTGTCCTGTTACACCGGCTTCCCTAAATTTCTACTCTCTCAAGTTTCTATGAGGCAATGACACAATAGGCGACGGAATAAATCGTACGATGCACAGGTTCTCCAATAGCGACACGTTCAAGCACGCGGTCGAGAAGTGACGCCATGACATCAAATCGCTGACTAAGTACACAACCACAATGAAGAAAACGCCAGGCCAAAAAAAATCTTGACTAAAAACCAGTATAAACTGGCACGGGGCAAACTGAGTCAAGGCTGATTCGTACAGCTGACCTAACCCACAAAAATAGGAAGGCAAAATAAAGCTTCGCGTCAAAAGTTCACGAATATGAAGGAGGAGGTATCATTAGGATCTACACAGAATATAACTAGAAGTGATATTATTTAAAAATAAAAAAATACATACGACTGGTTACCCGTTAAAATTATATTCGACCTCTCAAATGACGAAGACAATTGCGCAAATTTAACATCTCCAACAAAAAATACATTTGATGACTTCCAGACAATTTTAATTTAGTCATCCATATCGGGTGAACACGTTGCTAGCCTAAAAAAATTGAAGGAATCGATTGAGTATCACATTTGAGGGATCGATTTAGAGCGATTATGAAGTACAACTACAATGCGTTTTATTATCTCAATAACTGCAAGAATTTAAACATCCCGTAAAAAGTCACGTAAACGGTAAAACTTGAGATTTGTTAAAAAAAAAAAAAAAGCCCAGTCGGATTTTGATGAAGGTTTTTCTTCAGCTTCAATCATGCATTCGCAAGAACATCATGTCAGGGACCTCTACAAACGGAGTCTTTACCAAAAAAACTTTTGAAGTTTGCGAGGAATGAGTACATAGCAGCTGTCATATTCTTGCAAAGGAAATTATTTCAAGTTTTATTCGTTCTACGTAGTTCCAAACCCCAAAATAAGAGGAAAAATAAATCCGAATTTTCACCACAGGAATCCTTGAAATCTGATAACTTTGGCTCTATCTAAGAATCAATGAGTGACACGCCTTCAAAACGTGTACACTGTACAGTATATACGAGAAGCGCTGCTAGGATGTTTATTTCTGGAATTTTTTTTTACCATGTTTAAAGAATAAATTTAAACGGCAATATTCTCGCCATCAAATTTAAGCAATAATTTATCGCATGTATTTTGAAAAAAATCCGTTGTTCACGAACATACAATTTCAAGATAGGTTACGTCTTTCAGTCAGACATCGAAGTGAATCAAATGTATAATGCACGTAGGAAATGAAACGATCCATTGCTCCCAAAATAAATTTCAAAGAAATATTCCTCGATTTAAAACGGCAAGCTCAGTGCGAATATTGTACTGTATTACTAATACTCGTATAAAGAGTAAAAAAAAGATTCAAGATTCGAATAACCTGTCAAGAAGTTTGAGGAAAATATTGAGTTCGGATTAAAACAAACCTCAGCGATCGGAAGTTCGCTCAACGGCACCCCGTCCGCAACGTGGTGTTCGATACTGGAATCCTCGTCTTCGTTCTCTCGCATTTTCCCGGCTCCACCACTGGATCGTTTCCGCGAATCCCCGCTATTTCCGGGCACATCCGGTGAAGTGGACAAGGCGCTTCCGGGAGACGAGGCACCGGAGTCGCCTTCTTCCTCTTCCGAGTCCCTGGGGCGCTTCGAATCTTCTCCAAGCTCAGTTTTCGACACGCGTTTCCTCGGAAAACGCGGCATCGTTACAGGGTACTTTGTTGGCGGGGCGTCGGGAAAGATTTCGCTGCGCCGGTATCAAAACCTTTCAACACGAAACTTCACGCACCAAGTTTATCCTGTGAGAATATGAAGGTTCAGTGCTCATTCCATTTCCTCCATGAAAAGGATAAAGAAGTTGAAATTTTTCAAGCACATCAAAACAAACCTCCACCATGCGCTTCAGAAACGAAGAACTCATGCACAAGCAAAGGCTTCAACCGTAGAATTATTTATGAGAAACATTCAATTTGAGTCACATCACCAACTGAACGATTAAACTGAACTCGTGGAAGTGTTTTAGGTGCGATTTTATACGTGATTTTTCCTAATTCCCCTCCAAATTCGAAATTGTGGCAGCAAATCAGATGAAAATATATCGCAGTTCAGTTACTTTCATCTAATATTTCAATTTCTCTCGAACTCAAGCACAGCTTCTTGAGAAAATATTCGACTTCGAGCAAACAATTAAGCCATCGCGATGTTCTACATTTCCAGGAGCTCGCAAGATACATTTATTTTCTATGCAAGCTTTCCACAAACGTTACCCAAATTTCTCACAGTTGAAACAATGGAGGCAGTTCAAAATGCAACATTTTCATCAAACTCACTGGAACATATTTCAGTAACCATACTACAACGGATTCCACATCAAGGTCCCCATTCATCGCACGGTGACACGAAAGACTTCTCTTCGACCGCTACGTTTCTAAGCTGCTTTCATGAAGCACCATACTTCGCAAGATCTGCCGAAGTGCTGATGTGACGAGGAAAAGGTTCACAGTACCCACAGTGAAGTGCAAAACGACGAAGGAATAGGTAGAAAGATGAACGAAGGCGGAGACACAGGAGCTCACAAGGAAAATTTATTGACCCACGACTGCTAAACTCTCCAACTAAGCAGAGAAGCGGATGAGACTAACGACAACCCGAACTTTCGCTTCGCAGATGTTCAATCTCGTCATCACCCTATTCTTTTCCGAAGTATTTTTTTTTACTGAAATGATTGCACTGCATGGAGGTGCTTCCCTTGCTGAAAGGCATCACTTCAGATGCTGAAATAAATCTTCGGCTACGCAATGGTCAATGCAGTGCACGAAATCCATCATTTCTTCAGAGCAAGTTTCGGTAGTTGCGGTTTTTGACCTCACACGGCTGTTGCACTCTTCCAAGCGTTCTTTGAGGCTCGTGCAGCTGGACTTAGCTTCGCATTTCTCCTGAAAAAAATAATGAAACAATTTTTTTTTATATTTCTGATACTGTTCAAATTTAACCCTCAAGTGAGAGCATTTTCAACATTTACTGATTCATCAACTGCTGCAATCCAAAACAAAAGCGAAACTTCAGTCTCCAGGAAAAAAAATTGGTAGACACATCATCCATTACACTACTAGCAAATGACATGAAGGACAGATGTCACTTACTGTCCTAGAAATACACAGTACAGTACTGCGTTGTTATTTCAATGATGTGAAGTTCAATTAGCTTTAGAATGTCTCATGTGTTTACAGATGGCGGAGAAAAGACTTCCTTCGAAAAGTCTCACGGTTCTGAACGAGTATTTGCAAAAAGGCTTCCTCAAAATGACCTACACAATAATTGGAGAAAGCAGCTGTGCTGGTACTACAAAACTTAATGAGTAGTTGAAAACAAGCGACAACAAAATTGAATACATACTTGGAGCAAAAAACAAATACCAAAATAAAATTGAATCAGCTCAGGAAAATTGCTTTCCATCGCGTTGAACAAAACAATTTTGCCGTGAAACGAGCTGGGAGGCAAGGATCGGAAAAATATACGTTAACTCGTATCAAAATTGGATTCATGAACGCGCACTGAAATAGGTGAAAAACAACGCCTCGCAATAGCATATACTGTATTTTTAAATGCACAAATTAGATTTCATTACTTTTTCTGAACTCCGGGAGCTTAAAAAGTACTCTCGTACACGCGAAAACTTATCTGAAATCCCTCGGCGGCAAAATTGAAAATAATCTCTCACCTTGAGAACGTTTTGTGGGTCAATCAATTCAACTTCTTCCTCTGGGCTCTCAGCCTTCACGACAGCATGGAAACTCATGGTTAACACGTTCGTTTTTTTTCGCGAGAGAATGCAATAGAACAAAGGATAGCACGTTTAATGGGCACTGATTCTGCAAACGTTACAATCGTGTTTAGACAAAACGTCACGAAAGAAGGGATAAACATTCAAATCGAATTATTTGACATATTTGAAGAGATCTTTCGCAACACAGTGGTCAATGCAATGAATAAAATCCATGATCTCTTCTTCGCACGTTTCAGTCGTCTCTCCTTCGCAGCTATTGACGCGATCGTTGCATTCTTCCAGTCGGGCTTTGAGCGCTACACATTTCTTGTTTGCTTCACATTCGCCCTGCAATAAAACAAAAGATTGGTACAGGATGTCTCCAACAAATTTTTGGCAAATTAGACTCGGGCTGTCGACGATTCTTGAATCGGAAATCTAACCGACTTCAAGATAAACAACTGCGTAAAAATTGCTCGTCTTCGAATGCAAATCTACGCTGCTGCTGCAAAAACGTGGCAGACACTGCCACTGATGATATTTTCGAGTGAGTTACTGTATTGTACTGCCACATTTAGTCTCGCTCGTGATGAGCGTTACTTTCCTTGATGGCATGAAACTATTTTATTTTCAATTGAATCTTTGACAGTATTTCCGCAACAATTCAACCGAAATTACAGAAAAGATCTTAAGAGAGATTTTATTTTCCATGGAGCTTCGCGTTAGAAAGTTCAAAACTTTTTCGATTGTAAACTCTCCGCTGGAACTGACTCACTAAGGGATCCAAATATAGTTCAAGTAATCGACAACCATTGATTTCAAAAATTTAGCGAATGATCAGTATCGAATTTCAAGGAAATTGATGGGAGATCCACACCTTCAGTCGTTCCAAGGGGTCGGACAATTCTTCGTCTTCTCCGCCACCATCACCATTCCCGCCTTCATCCTTCACTTCTTTCTTGTCTTCTTTAGCTGGTGGCGGTTCATCTTCTGCTTCTTCCTTCTTTTCTTCTTCAACTGGTGGTGGAGGCGGTGGTGGCGGGGGTTCTACAGTTTTCGATTCTTCCTCATCGGAATCTTCATCGCCATTGCCATCACCTCCGTCGTTCTTATCCTCTTTTGTCTCGTCACCATTCCTCTCCGCACTATCGTCCTCTGTAAGAGAGAAAACAGTGGGATTAAGTAAGGCGACATAAAGATTTCTTTTATCAATATTTTCACATTAAATCACACTCCAGTAATAATTCCGACAGAGAATGAAAATCGACACATTACGATTACATCAGACACGGGGCCAGTATTACAAAAACAAATATATCAGGGCTTTTCAACCTCATTCCGGGTTGTGATACCTTCCAGACAAAGCAGTGTTGACATACCATCTCACGGATACCAATAAAGTACCACTAAGGAATAGAAGTATAGTCAAAACGGTTCGCAGCAATTTCTAATACCCACACATCACCCATAAAATACTGCACCAAAGATTTGAAGCACGGACAATAAACAGTCCGCAGCTATTTTATAATGTCCATACAATTTAGAACACAAATTACACATTACACATACAATTTAGAACACAATGATGTACGAACTTCGTAAATGCTCTATAATTTCATCGTAACATTTTGCATTCACAGATTTCGCCAACTCAATTCTCTTGTACAGTACGTATCCTCATTCTCTCTGAGTCGCATCATTCCGTACGCTTCACGTGAACCACACGTATTTCCCAATTTTTCATCACTTTCTTAAAACCCAATAGTTGAACGTAAAAAAACGTCGTAAAACAATGGTTTACAAGTTCAGATTTATTGGACATTAATTATAATGCAGTACCCCTTTGTGAAAGGAGACGAACGCGTTTCCAGTGAGGACCGAGACATCGTCCTTCGTCCGCATAGTGGGTTTCATAAGAACCACCTCCAGACACATCGTTCTCAAACTTGACTCGATTGCTCGCAACTGGAGCAGTTTTCACTCTTCTTTCCGGCGGAGATAACTCCAACCGGATGAAAATGTCGTCGGCAAAAAACATGTTGGTGAAATCCTCAATTTTGAGAGTAAACCCGCCGAATGACGAGGCGAAACGCGTTCCACGGGAATTACTGGGTGATTTGGAAGGTTTTTACAGACGCA